TGCTATCTTTGGTATGTTCTGGCCACACTTTGCTTTGCAATTTTGGAAGCTGGTAGTGAGCTTTGAAATCCTTTCTTATTTGCTTTGAACAAAACTGACATTGAAACATCTTAGAGAAACAAACCCCAAAAGAAATTAAATGCAATGACCTTGAGAGTTAAGGATAAAGAAAATCCAAAACCAGACGACTTGCTAAAAAGGAAAAGGGGAAAGAGACTTATCTGAGTGGAACAGCTGGTACCATTGATCATGACATGCATTTCGGACTAATCGGCCCAATCCGTCCAACCAATCAACTTTCAGTTGCCATACTTTGTTGCCCCAGAATTCCATAACCTGATTTCTTCACCCAAACCCTAACCTTGTCCATCCTACGGTGTCCTGAACGGTTTTCACCCACAGACCTCTCCCATTTGTTCACTTCTCAACTCACTTTCGTCTTAAGGTGCCCGTGAGGGTTTTCACCGATAAGACTCTCTCATTTCGATTTCTCTCAACTCCCGTTACCTTACGGTGCCCGTGAGGGTTTTCACCAATAAGACTCTCTCATTTTTCATTACTTTCCTTCTTGGACCGGAATGTTGCCCCTGATATGAATCACCTCTTCTTGCTCGACTTGGCATTTCTTGAAGACTGATCAGAAAGTCTTTCTTTGGACCGTAATGTGGGCTTTTGGATAGGGTTAGAAAGAAATGGTATTAAAGGCTCAAAACAATTCAAATGGGTTTAAAATTACAACTTTTGGAATCAGATTTCTTACAACAACCGCAACTTCTGCCCCAATTTCTTGCTTGGGGACTTTTGGATCTTTATTTTGATGGAACCGAACCGTGAGGCTGCCTACGTATCCTTAAAAGGAATCAGGTCGAACGTAGTTCATGTCATAGAAATTACTTTGTTGTTGTGATTTTTCCTTTCTTTTTCTTCCATTTTCTCTTCTTTTCTTTTCTTTCTTCCTTTTGCCTTTTCTTTGTTTTGTCATTTTTTCCTTTTCCTTTTTCTCTTCTTTTTTCTTTTTTTTTTCTTCTCTCTCTTTTTTTTCTTTTCTTTTCTCTCTTTTCCTTTACTTATCCTTCACGCTTGTACTTCTGATCCTTGCTACGGATTCCGAAAGAGGGGTATGAAAGAAAATCAATAAGGCTCAAAGGGGGTAACAAAGGATAAACTGTTTAGATAGCAGAACAAAATGCCTTCGTCATTCCAATCTCCAAAACATGTCGAGTACAAACAAATACAAAGCAAATCAAAGAAAATCATACATAATATCTCTTGACCGCATCGGAATTGATGGCCATTTCTACACACTTGCCTTCTATATCTGTTAATATAAAGCACCATTGGACAACACCCTCGTCACGATGAACGACCCCTACCAATTTGGGGCGAACTTGCCTTTGGCCTCAGCTTGATGTGGAAGAATACGTCTCAACACTTGCTGACCCACTTTGAACTTTCGCGGACGCACCTTCTTATTATATGCTCTTGCCATTCTCCGTGGATACAACTGGCCATGACACACTGCTGCCAATCTTTTCTCATCGATCAAACTCAATTGTTCCAAACGGGTCTTGACCCATTGATTATCATCAATTTCGACTTCTGCGACAATCCGAAGGGATGGGATTTCCACTTCTGCGGGTATCACTGCTTCGGTACCATACACCAACAAATAAGGAGTCGCCCCTACTGAAGTACGAACAATAGTACGATATCCCAGCAATGCAAAAGGCAGCTTTTCATGCCACTATCTAGAACCCTCCACCATTTTCCGGAGTATCTTCTTTATATTCTTGTTGGCCGCCTCAACTGCTCCGTTTGCCTTGGGGCGGTAAGGGGAGGAATTACGATGTGTAATCCTGAACTGCTGACATACCTCTTTCATCAGATGACTATTGAGATTAGCCCCATTGTCTGTAATGATCACCTTTGGTATCCCAAACCGACAAATGATATTTGAGTGCACAAAATCGACCACCGCTTTCTTTGTTACAGACTTGAACGTTTTGGCCTCAACCCACTTGGTGAAATAGTCAATGGCCAAGTGTCAAGTGCATGGAGATTTGATTCACTCTCCACCATCGGAATTGCACACAATGTCCGCACCATGGCCTTTCGTTGCGTGGGGCATGGATGTCATTGGCCACCAGAATAAACCTGTGCCCATTTGATGCTACTGGCTCGATTGGCCCAATGACATCCATGCCCCACGCAACGAAAGGCCATGGTGCAGATATTGTGTGCAATTCCGATGGCGGAGAGTGAATCAAATCTCCATGCACTTGACACTAATGACATTTGCGCACAAAACTGATACAATCTCGCTCCATTGTAAGCCAATAATAACCTGCTCGGAGAATCTTCTTTGCTAACACGTACCTACTCATATGCGGTCCACAAACTCCTAAATGTACTTCAGTCATAACAGATGTGGCCTGTCTAGCATCTATGCATCTCAACAACCCAAGATCTGGAGTTCTTTTGTACAATACCCCTCCACTGAAGAAAAATCCACTTGCCAACCGTCGAATTGTTCTCTTTTGATCACCTGTGGCATGTACCGGATACACCCCCATCCTGATATATTCCTTGATATCATGAAACCACGGCTCACCATCAAGTTCCTCTTCCACCACATTATAATAAGCATGCTGATCGCGGACCTCAATCTGCAAAGGGTCCACATAAGCCTTATCTGGATGATGCAACATTGACGCCAAAGTAGCCAAAGCATCAGCAACCTCATTATGAATCCTTGGAATGGGCCTGAACTCTATTGATTGAAACCGTTGACAAAGATCATGCAAACATTATCGGTACGGTATAAGCTTCAAATCCCGCGTTTCCCATTCTCCTTGAAACTGGTGTACCAGAAGGTCCGAGTCACCCGTGACCAAGACTTCCTGGACACACATATCTACAGCTAACCTCAAACTCAAGATACATGCCTCATACTCGGCCATGTTATTAGTACAATAGAAACGAAGCTGAGCCGTGACAGGGTAGTGTTGCCCTGTTTCAGAAATGAGTACCGCTCCTATCCCAACGCCTTTCATATTAGCAGCCCCATCAAGGAAAAGTTTCCATCCTAGCTTCTCAACTTGTTCCAACTCATCAACATGCATTACCTCTTCATCAGGGAAGTATGTCCTCAAAGGTTCATATTCTTTATCTACTGGGTTCTCAGCCAAATGGTCAGCCAACGCTTGTGCTTTCATCGCAGTCTGGGTCACATAGACAATGTCAAATTCTGTGAGCAAGATCTGCCACTTTGCGAGCCTTCCTGTAGGCATAGGCTTCTGAAAGATATACTTCAACGGATCCAACCGAGAGATGAGTTAAGTAGTATAATATGACAAGTAATCTTTCAACTTCTGTGCTACCCAAATCAGGGCGCAACACGTCCTCTCAAGCTGAATATACTTAACCTTGTAAGATGTGAACTTCTTTCTAAGATAATATATGGCCTGCTCTTTCCTGCCGGTGATGTCATGCTGACCCAACACACAACCAAACGAATGTCCAAAACTGTCAAATACAGAATCAAAGGCCTCCCTGGTTCTGGCGGGACCAATACCGGTAGGTTTGACAAATACCCCTTTATCTTATCAAAAGCCTCTTGACACTCGTCTGTCCACTTGACCGCAGCATCCTTCTTTAACAGCTTGAAGATAGGCTCGCACGTTGTCGTAAGCTGAGCAATGAACCTGCTGATGTAATTCAGCCTCCCTAACAAACTCATTGCCTCGGTCTTGTTCCTTGGAGGTGGCAATTCTCGAATAGCTTTGATTTTTGATGGGTCCAACTCAATACCTCGACGGCTGAGTATGAATCCCAATAATTTTCCAGATGGAACACTGAAAGTGCACTTTGCAGGATTGTGCTTAAGATTGTACCTGCGAAGCCTTTGGAAGAACTTTCTCAGATCCTTGACGTGGTCAGACTGCCTCCTGGACTTTACATTTACATCATCCACATAGACCTCGATCTCCCTGTGTATCATGTCGTGGAATATGGTTGTCATTTCCCTCATGTAGGTTGCCCCAGCATTTTTCAAACCGAAAGGCATGACCTGATAGCAGTACGTTCCCCATGGCGTGATGGATGCCATCTTTTCTGCTTCTTCCTCATCCATTAAGATCTGGTGATAGCCCGCATAACAATCCACAAAAGAACCAATCTCATGTTTGGCACAATTATCAATCAATATATGGATGTTTGGCAGTGGGAAGTTGTCCTTTGGACTCGCCTTGTTGAGATCACGGTAATCAACTCACAGCCTAGTCTTTCCATCCTTTTTTGGCACAGGCACAACGTTGGCTAACCAGGTGGGATACCGCGTGACCCGAATGACTTTTGCATCAAACTGCTTGGTGACCTCTTCTTTGATCTTTACACTTATATCAGTTTTAAATTTCCTCATTTTCTGCTTGACGGGAGGGAATGCCGGGTCAGTGAGCAATTTGTGGACCACTAAATCAGTGCTTAGACCCGGCATGTCGTCATATGACCATGCAAAAATATCTTTGTATACAAACAATGCTTTGATTATCTCCTCCCTGAGTTGTGGTTCAAGATGGACACTTATTTTAGTTTCCCGGACATTATCTTGATCCCCTAGATTGATTGCTTCTGTATCATTCAAGTTAGGCTTGGGTTTTTCTTCAAAATGGCTTAATTCTTTGCTAATTTCTTCAAAGGCCTCATCATCATCATATTCCAGTTCATCATCACACTCAATTTCTTGTATTATTATTTCAGAATTTGATTGGCTTTTAAGACTGGGCCGAAGATTCCTCATGCATGTCATGTCATTGAAACCAGCATAAAAAGAACTGTACAAGGAAGAAAAGAAAAATAAAATTATCAGGAATGAAGAAGACGGAAATTGCATTTCATTGAAATTAAAGATAACAAGGTTTAATACATCCAAAAGGACGGAACATAGAATCTGAATTACAACCCTGGAATAATCCAGACAACTAAAAGAAAATCAAAGCCCACTACCAAAACTCTCTCCGAGTAGGAAGAGGAGTAGCTTCCCAATTGTTGATCTTTGCACTGGGCCCCACAAATTGCACATCCGCCTTGCTCGAACCCTCTCCGGCTTCTACCATATTCACATCGTCGAACAAATTTTCAAGCAACTCCTTATCAGGACCAACCACAGAACCGGGCATTGTTGTTACTAGGCGCTTCTTGGTACCAGGCCTGACAAAGGATCGCGAGAGACGTCGGACAGGCTTTGGAAGAACCCATGCCCTCTGTTTCAACTTTCTGGCTCGCCTTATGTCTGCAGCTGTAGGCTTGAACCCCAAACCAAAAGTATCTAAGTTCTTGGGGAGAGACACCAGCTGTACGATACCTTGCAGAGACGCACCCAAACCCTTTCCAGGTACAAAACCATTCTTTAACATTTTGGAGGCTACCATGACTGATGCGGCTGTTACTTTAGGAACCGGAATGCTTTTCCCCTCTGGGATCTTCTCAACTGATACTGTGTCAAAGACCTGATAGACCCACGGACCCTTATCGTCTTCAACTTTGATGAAAAGTACAATGGCATCACTCAGGGCACACAGATTATCCTCGTCGTGCACCACAACTTCCTGTTTGTCCCATTCAAATTTAACCATCTGGTGCAGGGTAGATGACACTTCTTTGGCGGCATGAATCCAGGGTCGTCCTAGCAGAAGATTGTAAGAAACCGCCACATCCAGCACCTGAAATTCCATAGTAAATTCAACTGGCCCTATTGTCAGCTCCAGCACTATGTCCCCGACTGAATCTTTCCCTCCGCCGTAGGACCCCCGAACACAAATACTATTCTTGTGAATTCTTTCATTGTCCACTTTCAATTTTTCCAAGGTGGAGAGAGGGCAAATATTTGCGCTGGACCCATTATCAATTAGTACCCGGGTAACCACGGAATCTTCGTACTTCACCGTAAGATAAAGGGCCCTATTATGCTCAGTACCCTCCACGGGCAACTCATCATCGGAAAAAGTAACTTTGTTTACCTCAAATATCTTGTTTGCTATCTTTTCCAAGTGGTTTACTGACATCTTGTCGGGAACATGGTCCTCATTTAAGATTTTCATCAGCGCTCGACGGTGCTCATCTGAATGGATTAGCAATGAGAGCAATGAGATCTGAGCAGGCATTTTCCTCAACTGCTCTACAATAGAATAGTCCTGCACTTTCATTTTCCTCAAGAACTCTTCCGCTTCCTCTTCATTCACAGCTTTCTTTACCAATACCGGGTTGTCCTTGGGGATCCTTGCTTTTCTTAACTCTTCGGGGGCAAAGCATCTCCTCGAACGAGTCAAACCATGGGCTTCACAAACTTCTTCTCTAACTTCTTTCCCTTTATACGTCACTGCCACTCGTTTATAATTCCAAGGAACAGCCTTGCTGTTGACTATTGGCAGCTGAGTTACCGATTTTATAATGACAGGCTCTATGCGAGCACCCTCCACGACTACAACAGGCGTATTTGTTATCCCTGGTACCACCACTTTAACTTTCTCTGGTTTCACTGCAACAATACTCGACGACCCCTTCTCGACTACCACAGATGGTTTATTGTCTGTCCCTTTCAACTGGATCACTGGTTTTCCACTGGTTGACTTTTCACTTGGCTTGACTTCACTGGAACGAATCATCATTACTATCTGTGAGGGTTTCTTAGGCTCTCCCCCTTTGTGTATCACCTCGATCATATTGGTCTCATGATTGGCCGGCAACGGATTCTGATTGATTTTAGGTGCCTCTGGGCCTTGGACCTCGATCCGATTGGTATCGATGAGCTCTTGAATAGCTGTTTTCAACTTCCAGCATTTCTCTGTGTCATGCCCCGGAGCTCCTGAACAATATTCACAACTCACCGAGTGGTCAAGGTTTCTCGGAGGGGGATTTGGCAACTTAGGCTCGATCGGATTCAGCATACCCAACTGTCTCAACCAGTGGAATAGACTAGTATATGATTCTCCCAATGGGGTAAAAGTCTTTGGCTTCTGCACCCTCTCATTCTTGAAGGTTTGATTTGATCGGAAACCTGCTCCAGGGGGATTTCTGTAGGCTCTTGGGGGTGGATAGGTATTTTGTGGAGCTGGGTAGGTGTTCTGTGGGTTGGCGCATGCCATTGTGCGTGGGCCGGAGGTTGAGTGTATGTCTGAGCATGATGGACAGAGAAGTGGGGATCTGGCGGTGGGTAGTAGTGTTGTGGTGGGCTATATGGAGTGTGGGGGTAAGGTTGGTGGTGGGGTCGAGGTTGGTTATACTAAGGTGATGGGCCCCCTGACCAAGTTCTTGACTCAATTGTTGCAACGTCCTCTTTCTTCTTCTTTCCCAATACACCCCCAGTGCCGTTTTGGATGGCCTGGGTGGTCGCCTTGATTGCTGAATAACTCATGATTTTGTTAGATTTGAGTCCTTCCTCTACCATGCTTCCCATTTTTACCCTTCGTCAAAGGATTTCCCTACCGCTGACACCAAGTGACCAAAATAAGTGGGCTCTAAGGCCTGCAAGAAATAATTATTTCACTCTCTTTTATTGGAGGGTCAACCCTCGCTGCTTGCTCTCTAAAACGGAAGCCATATTCTCTGAAACTCTCCCCAGGCTTTTTCTCAATTTTCGTCAATGACAGACGGTCTGGGACAATTTCGAGATTATACTGAAAATGGCAGGCGAATGCTTGGGCTAGGTCGTCCCATGTGTACCACCGACCATGATCTTGTCGTGTGTACCATTCCAAAGCTGAGCCACTTAAACTTTGACTGAAATACGCCATCAGTAATTCATCTCTCCCGCCTGCTCCTCTCATCTTGCTACAAAAACCTCTCAGGTGTGCCACTGGATCACCATGCCCGTCGTATAAATCAAACTTGGGCATCTTAAACCCTGCTGGTAGTTGAACATCTGGGAACAGACACAGATCTTTATATGCCACGCTTACTTGACCGCCTAGCCCCTGCATATTCCTAAGTGATTGTTCCAAGCTCTTGACTTTCCTAATCATCTCCTCCTGCTCGGGATTCTTAGGTGGCTTCTCAGTTTCTGCCTAGAGATCAAAATGAAGAATGTAAGAACATGGTTCCGGCGCTTTGAAGGTAGGTTCTGAGGGATAATAATGGTTGTCATGAGTCTGGAACAGAGGCTCACTGGAAGATCGGTGTAATGCAGTAGGTGGAGGTGCCACAAAAATAGGAGTGATTGGTGGAGGAGGGTATGGGACTTGTTTTGGTGGTGGAGCTGGTGGTGTTTGGGAGGTAGTGCCATAGCATTGTTGGTAGGTGGGAAAGGATGGGGATGAATTCACAGTAGGAGGATCCTGAGGTTGAGCCAATGGTGGGATATAAGCAGGGTTGGCGGGATAAACCGGTGGTGGATGCCCCTTTGCCCAGGCCTGGTACATTTTAGCCATTTGCTGCTTCAGCTTATACATCTCTTCTTTTATCGCATTAACATCCAATTCTTTCACCTCTTTTGACAGGTCGACAATACTCGCCTCTAGTTCTTGGTTGGCCATGTTCAACTTTTCTTTTGACCGGGTGTTGTATGAATGAGTTGCCAGAATGCCAATCAACTAACCACCTGCCTGGACTCAATACATCAACAACAACTTTGTTAGTGATTAGGGTTTTAACAGATTGGTAACCGCACATTTTGGGGCATGAGTACACCTAAGTAGTTAACCGTTTCTATTATGCCTTTGGTCGGTTGCGTGCATCATCCCGGCTTCCCTTATTTCCATTTGTTTCTTTTTCCTTTCTTTTCCTTCGTTTCTTTTTTCATTCCTGCCTTTGCTTTCTCTTTGTTTTTATCCTCTCATTCCTCCCTCTTGTTTTGCCGTTGTTTCCTTCTCTCGGTTTCTTATTTTCTCTCTTTTTCTTTGCTTTTTCTCTCTTGTTTTTCCTCTTTTTCCTTCTTTTCTTCTTTTTTTTCATTTGGTTACAGTCGAATCCTATGGAGATTGCCTACGTATCATGACCCCGCATGAATCAAACCAAGCGTAGTTCTTGGGGGATATAAATGAAAAATAAATAACAAAAATATTTTGGGATTTTCAATTTTCATAAAACAAATACTTTATTACAATGACTCGAAAAACTCAAGACACAAAAGCAACTAATAGACTCTAAAAAGATGAAAATACAGACTCAAAGAACTAACAGACTCGAACTTAACTGACAGACTTCAAAAGCATAAAAGTACAGACTCAACAATCACGAATACATTAATGCTTCAAAAACTCCTGGGGCCCGCGGGGCATCATTCGGCCTCGCCACGGGCCTATCTGCAAGATCCCCTTGGAGCCTTTCCAATCACTTATTATTTGCCGGACAAATGTCATCACTGCTGCGAAGAAAGTGGTGCGGGTCATATCCTCACATGCTTGGCACTTCATAACAATATGATCGGCAATGGCCCTGACCCTCTCTCTGATCCTGCCCTTTTCCTAAAGCAATCGCCCTATCTGCTGACTCCGGGCTTCTAACACTTGAGAGTCGTGAAGGTGTTGATTTTGCAAGTGTTGTATTTCTTCCTCCATCTGAGCCATCAAATCATAACAGTGTTCCCTATCAGCTTTGAAGTCCTTAGCCTGCATAGCTGCCTTATTCTCAAGAGTAGTTACTTTTCTCCTCAGGCTGGTGATTGTCCCGCCATAGTTCCTTTTCATTTGCTGCACAAACTGTGCCCGCTCTTCTGCCTTCTTTGCCCATTGTGCCCGGATTTTTTCTAGACTGGCCTCAGACTTTTCCAGGTCCACTTGACACTCGAGGGCTTTCGTTTTCAGACCGCTTATAAGTTTTTCATCCGCCCGGCTTCTTTCCGAATTTCTAGCAGCTATTTTCATCTTCCGGATCTGAGTTTTGAGCGCTTCATTTTCCTGAGTTAGTTTTTTATTTTCCCCCTCGTCTGCGGAGGCTTGCAGACCATTTTCAAACTAAAGCTCCATGACTAGCCTTTCCAACTTGCTTATAGTAGCCCTGTACTCGTTTTCTTTGGTCACCCAGTCCCATTGCACCTGTGCTCCGTCGATGAACTGTTGGACATGGGGTCTTTTTGCGGGCCTTTCGGGTTCAGGATGAACTCGGGATCTTTTACCATACCAAGCAGTGTAACTAGGCTCCACCTCGCCTCTAGATAGATCTCGTACTTAAGTTCTAGGCTCTAAGAATCTGCACTGATGCCAAATCCGACGCACTTTTTCCTCTGGAAAGGAAGCTTTTGGCTCTAACTCAATGATCTGCCGACTCAAATCTTCATCATGTGGGATGGGCTGGTATCGGCCTAACTGACGTAGGACTCTGTACGGAGCATAAGGCTGGATACTCCGAAGACCCATTAATAGCAGAAAACACTCCCCAGCCGACATATAGATTACTTCACCTATCGAGAGCCAACCGAACGTCCATTCGATTTTGTCTGCAGTCAAGGATCTCAAGTGAGCATGCCATGCTTTTGTACCCTCCGGGAACCTATAACCCTCTACCCGCTTTTCATGTTTTTCAATGCACTCGCGGCCAGTCATTCCACAATTCAAGTATCCGGGACGGTGGCAAAGATGTTCCTCCATCCATAGTTGTAACAGCATATTGCACCCTACAAAGAACTTTTCTCCTTCTCGGCAAAGGGTCAGGGATCGGTAAATTTCTGCCAAGATCAACGACACTATGGTCCCATTTGCCTTTTTCATCATAAAGTCAGTTATCCCCACGAGTCCCAGCTCTATATTCCCATCTTTTCTGGGGCAGACAAAAATACCCAGGAACGCCGTTATAAAAGCTAACCCTCTCCGAGCTTCCCACTTGTCTTGATTTCCTGCGTGAGTAAGACCAGTATCTGGCGTCTCAAAACCACGGGGATTCCTGTAATGTCGGTACAAAAAGTAGAAGGTACAGAATCCATTGGCCAAATTCCCGTATCTGACGTCCCGAGTAATGCTTAACAAGTCCAAAAATTTGTGAGGGGTTACTGTTCTGGGTGCCACCGGGTATCGAGTTTTGAGATTCCCCTCGGAACCGGCGTATCCTGCTATCTCTTCCAGTGTAGGAGTTAGCTCGAAATCAGCAAAGTGTAATACATTATGTGTCGGGTCCCAAAATGGTATCAAGGCCTCAATTATGTCCTTTCTCGGTTTAACCTTCAAGAACCCAATAAGACCACCCAACGCTTTTGTCACAACTTTCCTGCTGCCGTCCCCCAAATTATGCCACCACATATGTAGCTCCAAAGGGATCTCTTCACGGACTGAGAAAGGTTCATTTTGATTTGTGCTCATCCTGCACATTTATTAAGGTGATTTTAATTAAAACAAAAACTACGACTCATTTTGACTCCAGAAAGATGACCATCTTTTTCAAAATTTTCACAAAAGTATCCGGTTTTGCCAATACGGCCTTTCAGCACTTCGAAAACAAAGATTTTAAGGTTGTGTCGGCTAACCGGCCAAAAACCATGAAAAATGACTAAAGGCGGTTGTTCTTGCAAAAACAGCCTTCCGGCGCCCTTTTGAGGGACATTCGGCTATTCTTGACAAGAATGGCATCACCTTAATTATTTATAGTAAAAATAATTTTTTGTTCTTTTTGGGCTATATTTACCAAAAGGGAAGTTGGACCCGATGGGGGTTGCCTACGTATCTCACACCCTGTGAGAATCAAACTGGCATAGTTCGGGCAGATAAAACAAAACCAACTATTTTTGAAAACGAACTTTTTTTTTCAATTTCATTTTTCCCAAAAATTCGGCAGAGTTTCAGTACCATTTGGACATTGGTTGTTTTCAAAACAGGTGATTGACTCACTTAACCCTCACACTGCAATTCTCCTTTCCTAACTTTCTTCCATTATTCAAAAGTCGGTCAGCATGCAAATCCAAAACAAATAAATGCACAAGTAGCAAGTAATATGCATCAGGATAGTCTTTTTTATTTTTGGTACACCTGTCCTAGACAGACCTAACCCCTGTGTTTAGTCTCCAAAGTCAAATGCACGTGATGCAACAAATCGCTCCTACTAGCGATCCGGCATGGGGCTGAGTTATTCTAGGTTTAAAATCTGGGTTTATTGTTCAAGACCTGGCTTACCCGAGCGGACAACTCGAGCCGAGGGGGGGCAGCGTACCGGGAATACAGAAGCTTCGCCAGCTTTGCAACTTATCCGAACCTCGTTCTAAAATTTGGTATATGACTCTAATAGAAAAGAAGTCACAAGAAGTGCACACTCCTTCATGATTTAGAAGACTCGGAGAGAAGAATGGTTTCGTAGCACTTTATATACAGTTCATGAAATATCAAAGCGGTAAAAGCAGCACTTAGCACATTAGGCCCAAACATGTAACAAAATCAGATAAAGCCAAATATAACAATTTATCTAAGCTCGAATTCTGAACCCTGAACCAAAAGTTTTGGGTTCTTTTCCCCAGCAGAGTAGCCAGAGCTGTCACACCTCCTTTTTCACTACACCCCGGAAGAGGGTATAATAAAGGGAGTTTTTCCAATTAAAAGACAATCGAAACGGGATTTATTATTTAAAGATTCAGAGTCGCCACTTGGGAGATTTATGGTGTCCCAAGTCACCGGTTTAAATCCCGAATCGAGGAAGGGTTGACTCTGTATTACAGTCCGCGAACCAGAAATCCGGGTAAGGAATTTTGTTAACCCGGGAGAAGGTGTTAGGCATTCCCGAGTTCCGTGGTTCTAGCACGGTCGCTTAACTATTCTATTCGGCTTAATTATCTGATTTTAAGAACATTTTGAACCTATGTGCATTTTAACTTTTAACCGCTTTTATTCATTTTTTTAAAGAAGATTTAACGTCGTCTAAAATATGTTTTTGGATCACGTCACATGAAATGCACCCGCAATCCGAAACACATTTTATTCAACGTTATAAGGATTTGGATTTGGGTCACATGAAATGCACACCCGAGTTTAGGAAAGTAATACTATTAAATGACGCGCCTAAAGCAGCTACGCGTTTTTAGCTTTGCGTGGGCCATGGAAATTTGCTAAATGGCACGCCTCGGTTTCTAAGAATTTAAACAAAATAAATTAAGCGAGGGCCATGCAATTGAAATTTTGTTCGGCACGACACATCTCGCCTTCCAATATTAAAAGGGTATTTAAACTACAAGCTCGGAGGGCCATAGACTATGTCTTATCTAGTATAGCTCACTCCCAATACTTAAGTAAAGAAGCCTAAAGGAATCCAATTGCTTTTACCCAAAAGATTTTTCCCAGCCCATTTACGAAAACACATCATATTAATGGATCAAATGTTGAAAAGGAAATGCAACTAAACAAAAACCCCTTCGAAAAGTGCCTTTCAGCTTTTGGCTCCAAGTAAGCCAATTCATAACTTGGATTTGAAAACATTTAGCATACAAAAGTAATCTAACTCTTCTCATACCATGCGTTGCGGATCCGACCCAAACTCACAATGGCCCATTAATTAAACAGATGAGTGGCTGGGCCCTAAAGACCAGCCCAGTCAAACGGATGGTCTTTGCAAATGACTTCAAACCTCAAAGCCCAATAGGCATAAAGCCTGGAAGGACGCGGCCAAGGGCCTGGACTCGACATCGAGTCATTAACATCACAGACGGCTCTCTTGCATTTAACAATAATCAACAGCCCTTATAATACTAACATTAATCACTCTGAGATAACAACTAAATTCATGCCTCAACTAATTGTAAAAGTTAACACATGCCATTTATGCTACCAGCTATTTAGTAAATTCAAATTGAGATGAACCCCTGAAGCCAATGTACAGATTCACTGGGATCTTAATAAATTACCTCAGATCCTCAATCACATGGATTTATTTTAACGAGTGAGCAGAGAAAAATGACAGAGAAAGACACGTATGCAAGCTATGAATCTAGCTTCATTGAACATTCATATTTGCTAGGGTAAATTCTAAGGCTAACCCCTGTTGATCTTAACACAGTACAATCAATATAACTTCTAAGAGATGCATCCAAAACATACTGAATCAACAAGTGCCAGGCAAAATCCAATTATAAATATCCTAACATTTTACAAGTTAACAGCACAATCCTACTTATACAGGCCAAAATAGAATGGAACTTCCAGTTTCAGTTATAGTTGAGTGAGGTCTCAGCTTCAAATCAAGCAGATGCTACAAATGGTTATACTTAAGTATTAAGCTAGCATGGACAATAAACCAAAACACAATAAGATGATATGGCTAATAAACAACAAGGGATCAACCATTTACAATTTCATAACTCGAATTACATGACTCAAACCAAGCTTAGCCCAAAACTTCATTTCTATTTTTCCTCATACACTTCACTTATCTCATGCATAAAACCAAGTCCATAACTTCACTTTGTCATTTAGTGAGTTCTGAAGAAATACCTGGAAGTAAAATGAAACAAAAGAAGTGAGGAATCTGCAACAGAACGGCAGCTAGCAGACAACAGCAAAACCAGTTCGACCAATTTGAGTTTGAAAACAATGAGAAAATCAACTTCACTCGAGCAAATACCAAGGCAACCCTCAAAATCAAAACCCCAAACAACCAGTTTCAATCCATTTGAGCTATATTCAGCAGAAAAACCTTTTCAAGAAGTGAAGAACTTAAGAAATCACTAGAATATTTCAATGGAATAGTGATTTTTGCTTTAGTTTCAGCCCTTTCTTTTCTGTATTTTTCAGCTCCTTTTTTTCTTGCCTTGAAAGGCAAGAATGAGATGCCTTTATAGGCAAGGCCATAGGGGAACCATCAGATTTCAATTCTTTCAATTCTACCCTTTTCTAAATTTTTTTTTTTTTGCTACTTAGTCCCTCATTTAGTGACTTGTTGGTCAAGCTAACCAACT